TTCCTGATAATCCAGAGAGGTTTGATTATTACTGCTCTGTTCTGGGCTCTGAGGGCTTTAACTCAGGGACTCACAGCTGGGATGTTGAGGTTGGAGACAGTCCAACCTGGATTATTGGTGTAGCAGCAGAATCCATCCAAAGGAATCAAGACATAGCCCCACAGTCTGGATTATGGAGAATAGTGTTCTATAAAGGTGAATACACAGCATGGTCATTATCAGGTCCAAACACTGTTCTCCCAGTGAAGAAGCTCCAGAGGATCAGAGTTCATCTGGATTTGAAACAAGGAAAGCTGTCATTCTCTGATCCTGATACTGACACACACATATACACCTTCACACACACTTTCACTGACAAGTTGTTTCCTTACTTTAACACTAACAAAGTATTTCCACTTAAGATTATACCAAGGACAGTGTACTGTGACAGTTGGTGACCTTTCAGATAATTGTGTTTGAATTGTTCCTCTCAAGAGAAAATTGAGAAAAGACTCCTTAATTTTTACAAAAAATCTGGACTGAATACCACAAGTGGAATTTCTCACGGATAAAGTCATAATCATAATGGCACTGACTGGGGCTGAGCAGACTACTGTGCAGGAGACATTTGATATTTTGATATTTTGGGAAGTATAAATGCTGTCATTCTGAAGTTCTACATGCTGTCATTTTGAAGACTATTATTAAATTGAAAAAGGGTATATAAGCTACATGTTCTATTATTAATTCAATGAGAATGATTAAGTCAGACAACCAACGTAATTAATAACTTTGTATTGTCATAACCAAGCAGTGATGTCTGGTGATTCAAAACTTGAGGAATACAGGAGGAATAGCAACCCAGGATTATTAAATGTAAAGAGGAGGTATATGATGCACATCTTCTGTTATTAAATCACTGAGAGTGATTGAGACAATGTATTTAATAACTTTGTATAATTATAACCAAGTATATGTTATCTTATTCTTACTGTATCAAATATTTTCTGTATGTTATTTTTTTTTTTACTTTTTAAACTTTAAAAGTATGAATTATAAAAGTAAACACACACATTTACAACAAATGCTGCAGTGTGA